TCCGTCTTTTTTAAGAGCTTCCTTGAAGTACTAAAAGGCCACAACGAGGTCACCTGGCTGTCCAACCTCAGCCCTACTTATGCTTTTAGATATTGGAAAGAAGACAAACAAATCTGCCAGGTGGTCCATGGGAGGTCCCTGCAGGAGCCGCTCATGGATTCCCGACCAGGCCGTGGAGCTGGGCCGGGAGGGGCCACAGCACTGAGGGGACAAAGGAAGGGCTGCAGGGAAGGTTGTGCACTCGCAGCCATGAGGGAATCAGCCCCCACATACCACACACGGGATTTTGGAATTAATAGAAATGCTTGAGTTTTTTTCCTTTTCCTCCTAAACCGGCATCCAGCTGCCTCATAAGAGTACCAATGCCATTTTTGGCAGGCCAGGTTAGGTCTATTTTGTGGTTCTCTCTTTAAAAAGTTTTTAATTTTTATAGCATTTTAGTCTTCCTCTGCAAGTATCTCAACCTGCTTTATTCCCATCCACACTGTCTTCCTCTAGGATGTTGCTATCTCTGAACTTCAGCTACCAGGGCCACTGAGCACTGTCACCCCAGGGCTGTAATTCACGCTGACTCACACTTGCTGGCCCAGAGGCTTTTTCTCCTCACACAACACCACTCTCCTGAGGTTTATTTTCATTCCTCAGATATCCTGGTTTGAGGGCTCAAAGGTGATTTCTTCCTGTTACAGAGAGAACTGGGATAAAGGAGAGAACACGGGATTAAGCCTGAGGTAATTCAGGTGAACCTGAGAGAACACTTCACCTGAGAGCAAAAAATAAGAAGTAATTGCAAATAGAGTTTGTTTCCAAAGGACCCTCCATGGCATTCTCCCACCTCCAGTGCTTTTTATGGTGGTAATAAGAGAGAGAAAGGGTGGGTGGGCTCAGGGAATGCTTCAGAAACCCTCCCTGCAGGTCTGCTTTCACAGAACCATAAAATATCCTGAGTTGGAAGGAACCCACAAGGATCATGAGCCCAACTGCTGGCCCTGCACATGGATCTCCTTTCCTTTTTGTCCTCAGTTAGGGAATTCAAGGTCATCTTGCCTCATGAGCTTCAATACCAGCAAACAGGCAGCAGATGGGTTGGTTGACATCTTAGCTACACCCTCAGAAGTTACACAAGAGCCTCGCAGGAGCTGCTGCCTGATCAGGATTCACCTGCAATAAATGCCACTCTCACATTCACTGATCTCAGCTCACAAATTGGTGCAATTCACTTCAGCTGGAGAACAATTATCCTTATCTCTGAACATGACCATGATAAAAAGTCACTAGTCGTGGAGGAGTTTAAGTGGAAAAGTACCTCCATTCTGGAACCCAAACTGCTGTTCAGCCTGCCAAAAACCAGAATGAAAATCATAAAACATTCACTACAAAGCTGCTTGCTACCTGAGTTAACATTTATCCAAGGAACAGCATTCTACTGCCAGAGCACAAGGAAATGGAAAACAGAACGTGACAGTAACTTCTTGAAAGATGTTTTAGTCAGCCCTCCTCTGTTCAGAGCACTTTTAGGACGAGGAAGTAGGAAATAAATAGGAAATTAAAACTCCCTGTGTTTGCTGCTCTTGCAGTGACAGAGTAAGATCAATGTCTGGAGAGAGTGTGTATAAAGAGAACAGTCTTCATTAATCTCATCCTTTCCCATGGTGAGAGTTCTTAATTTACACTTTCTCAGCTGAGTAATTACCTCTACTTTACACTTCCAGTTCCTTCAGGAGTGGAGTGACTAACATTTGCACAGAAACCCCAGAGGGGCTGTGTGCTGCTGAAGGAAGCTGCTCTGCAGTCTGTGTTCAAGACCTAGGACAAGTGCCCTCACACATGGGGTAGAACACAAATATTTCACCCTCAGGCAGTGTTGTGGGCTGGTAGGGTGCCAGAAACCTCTGTGGAACAGCCACTGGACCTGTCAGAGGCAGGAAAACATCCCCTGGGCTCCCACAGCCCTACAGAGCTGGTGCTGGACTTCCCACCTTGCAACCAAAGAAACCAGCTCCCAAAAGAGCCCATTTCTGTGACATCCCCCCGGGGACCACGAGTGGTGCTGCTGCTGCCCCAGGGAGCCACCAGTGAGGGCCTGGCCCCACACAGCACCCAGAAAATCCACAAAACAGCTGCTCCAGCAAAGCTCAGAGCAGCCAAAGGAGAGGGGAGAACATTCCCCAACCAAATGGCAATTCACTGGAGTCCGTGAGAGCAAATGCTACAGAGATCATCTTGGCTGACTGATGTGAATACAGCAGTGTTTCAGATGAAACAGAGATGAAAAATGATGCTCAAAAGGAGAAAGAATCAAAACACAAAACTAACCTTTCCTGAGCACCAAAGTGCTCCATGTTGTTTCCACCATTAGATTACATATGAGCCAGCAGAGATTTGGGAGATGAAAACTCAGCTACATGTAAAACCAAAGTGAGACATAAAATACGAGTAATGAAGCCAAGTTTTTAACAAAAGGCATCAGGATCCAACCACATCAGAGTTCTGGACACAGGATGCAGTTAATAGGAGGAACAAATGGCCATATGACTTGGGCTGAATTGTTAGTGCAGCAAACGCCTCTGTGGAGACTACTACACTTTTCTAAACTCTGGAGAGAAACAAAACTAAAATAAACTATAAAAATATATCTAGAATGTCTGTACAGTCACAGAAATGTCCCCACAGCACTCTGCTGAGAACTGGTTAAACAAAACCTGTGCTCGCTGCCACTGGCTGCAGCCTCCTTAGGAAAAAATGTAACAGCCTTGCAGGCTCTAAAAATTAGGGGATTGATGCAGTTTACATCCTGCTGATGACTCTTGATGGGAGAAAAGAAGTTATTTGGCAATTCTGGTAGATTCTGTCATTTTATAGTTGGAAATACATGTGCAAAATCTATGTTTTCATTCTATATCTGTAGGCGAGGTTAATTTTTCTTTCAAGTCTGACTAATGCCTTCACTCCCCCTCTCCCACTGGCTCAGGAAGAGACAAGATGTGTGTGTTTTATTACTTGAAACGTATGGATCTACTCACATGAGTCACAACCACATCCATTAAAACAACAAAACCCGTGGAAATACCACCATCCCCAGGCATGAGCACTGCCACCAGCAAGGGAGATTCCTGAGTTTTGGAGAAGGCTCTGTTCTGTTTCCACCGATATTCCTAATGGGAATGGTGGAGCAGATGGGGAAGAGGAGCTGCCTGGTCAGGTCCCACTTGTCAGTGACTGGATGGACATGGTGTGATGACACTGGCACTTGCTCCCAGAACATGCAGCAACTCTGTGGGCCAGAGAACCTGCAGCCTCAGAGCTGCATCATCCACAGCCAGACAGAGAGTTCTGTGCTCCCAAGGGATATTTGTTTTCAGTTCCGCTTTTACAATACTTAAAGGAAATCATAGATACCTCAGCTAAGGGGGAAATGGCATCCAGTGATTCCCAGGCCTGCTTCTGTTGGCTAAACCATCCCTGCCTGACGTGACACCCATCACATTCTGCTCCAGGCACCTCAAACTAATCCAGCCCCCAACCAGACCTGTCTCAGCCAAGCAGTTCCCAGGAACCCCAGACTGGAAATCACCCAAGGAGACTCTAAAATGTAGCACTTGGCTCTGCTGCTGAACACTCACCCCAACAGCCTTTCCCAAAGCCTCTCAGTGATAATTTCAGCATGAACCCATCTTTCCTTTTTGAAAGAAAAAGAAAAGGCAACTTAGTTTTAAGGAAGTTGGTTTTTTTTTAAGTTACATCAGAAAACAGGTCATTGCATATTAGTCCTAACTCAGACCCATGTGTCACACACAGAACTGGTGCACAGCTCAGCTCAGATTTTGAGGTGGCTGCAACAAATAAAAGGGCAGTCAAGGAAAAGGAAAAGGAAAAGGAAAAGGAAAAGGAAAAGGAAAAGGAAAAGGAAAAGGAAAAGGAAAAGGAAAAGGAAAAGGAAAAGGAAAAGGAAAAGGCTGCCATCTCCACTGCCTGGTGAACAGTCACGAGGTGCTGCTTGTGTTGGGACCTGGAGTCTCAGCTCCAAATCTGCTTCCTTCTCCTATCTGCCTTAAACTTCTTGAGTAGATGGACTCGACAGCTCAAGATGTTTAAGGGCTCCCTACACAACCCAGGAGAAATATCAGTGCCTGGGGACTAATCAGTATTTCCTGCAAGTGTTCTGCTGCTGAGTCTCGTGAGAACATTTTGTGCCACATCTTGAAAAAGGAGGTATTGCTCTTGATTTGATGACAAATGAATTGGAAATAGGAGCTGTACATGTGCTAATTTCCAGCGATGAAGTTGGCATTCATTACAGTAATGAGCACTGCATAAAGCATATAATCAACTTTCCCTGCAGATGTCAGGAGGAATCCAGAGGCAGGGAGGAGACACATACACTTTCCACAAACACCACAAACTTCCAGCCCCAAAAAACACAAAGCAAGAGGCAGTTCTTTTTCTCCCTACCAGTCCTCAGGGGTATTTGAGTGTATCTATGAAGTTTTTGAACTAATGAGCTTAGACAGGCTTTCAACCATGGGATAAATATTACAACAAGTGCTGTAAATATTTTCATAGTGGAAACACAACTGTTTCACTTTCTTCCCAGAAGCAGCAAAAGCTACAAATGTGATTACATTGAGTTGGTAACTGAGGATAACTAATTAAATCCTTTTGTGTAGAGGAAGATGTTTCTGTTACATCTTGATAGAAATTAAAAGCGAGTAATTGAAGGAAAAGGTGACAGTTTAATAAATCATCATCTGAAATAAAGTAAAAATACCAGAAAACACCGTCCCCATGCTTTGTGAAATCAAAGCAAGGTGGGCAACAGTGAAATGGTACCTGTTATGTGAAATGAAACACGAACATCTCCTGAAGGGATGAATGAAGGTGAGTGGGGGTTTGCTGGATTTCATGCCCACGTGCAGCAGCAAGAAGAAGACATCAGTGGATGCCCCAATGTTATTATGAGTAAGTGTTCCCCAGGCACCCAGACTGGGAGCAGCTCTTACCTTCTGGCAGCCTGGGGTTGGCGTGGATGGAGTTGGGGTCCCCGTCCTCCTCGGGGTGGTACCGATACAGCGTCTGGGACTGCTTTGGGGAGGACTGGCTGCGGTCTTCCTGGATAGCAACAGGAGGGGAGGTCGTTGCACTGAACTTTACCTTGGGGAAATCGTTTCCCTCGAGGGTTTCATGGGAAGACTTTGCCCAGCTCGGCTCTGTTAAATTCCCCTCTGTCAAGCCCTGGTACATGCTGTTTGCTGGCTCTTCTTTCCTGACGTGCTTTTTCATTTTAGAGTGGGGGGCTCTTTCTTGCTCACGCCTCTCTTTGTTCCCTTGCTTCCCCTTTGGTCTCCTCTCCAGCTCCTCCGGGTGCTGCTGGGGGGTCTCAGTGGTGGCCGTCGTGTGCTCCACAGGAGCTCTGGTGGTTTCTGGTGCCTCCCTGTGCGTGCCTTGCCGGAGGGAAGCCGCGGTGGTGCGGGGCACCCTGCGCCTCTCGCCCCTCTCGGTGGCACCGCGCACCTCGGCGGGGCCCTGGGGCACGGCGGGGCTGGGGGGCACCGTCCCCTCGGGGGGAGGACGGGCCGGGGCCGGCACCGACGGGGCCACGCTGGCTGCCGGGTAGTCATAGTCCTCCCCCTGCTCCTGGCTGTCCTGCTCCAGGTGGGATGAGTAACTCCGGTACTTTTTGGGGGACTCCAGCTGGGTGTTGTCCCCCTCGGCCGCCTCCTGGTCGTAGCTGTAGGGATCGTCGTAGTGCCTCTCGGGCTCCCCGTCCTCGGCGTCCCCGGGGCTGGCCGTGTTCAGGGCGAGGGTGTCGCAGTCGGGCAGCCGGTAGCACATGAGCTCCCCGCCGGCGTTGGGGCAGTGGCACACCTTGCAGGGGGGCATGTGGAAGGTGTGCCCCGCCACGTACTTCTGCCCCTCGTGCAGGCAGCCGATCCTGCCGCACTGCGGGCACCCGTCCGCGGGCACCACGGCGTCGATGCAGTTCGGGGGCAGCTCCGGGCACAGCATGAACTGGCAGCTGATCTTGCCGCCGCCCTTGGGGCACGAGCACTCGGTGCTGCCGAAGTCCACGAAGTAGGACTGTCCCTCGGGCACCCTGCCGTTGGTGAAGCCCACGTTGAGGCAGTCGTAGTACTGGTAGCCCTCGCAGGTGCAGCCGTGCTGCAGGCACGTGGCGCAGCACCCGCCGGGCTCCAGCACCTCCTCGATGCAGTTCTCCAGGGCCGGGCACTCGGCGCCCGTGCAGTCCCGCTGGGCCCGGGCACTGCCCGCACACAGCAGCACCAGGAGCGCGGCTCTCCAGCAGCTCGGCTGCCCAGCCATGGCCTCTTCCCGAGCGCAGCTCCAGTCCAAAGGCGCACGTTTAGCGCTGGCTGTTTTCCTGCAGGGTTGGAGGTTCAGCTCCGAATCCGCAGCGGTTTCCTGAGTTACCTTTTCTCATGGATCCTGGAGTTATGAAAGAAAACTCTGTTAAAGACTATACTCGGCACATATCCTGCTAAACATTAGAGGTCTTTAAAACTTGGGACGAAATCCAACATCTGGAAACCGAAGGACAAAATTAATCTTAATGTCTTCCAAGCATTGTAGGCACTAAGTTTGGAGTTCCATGGTTCCCCCACCCCTATTTTGAAAAAGAAAGGAAGAAAAAACAGTTGTGACTGTTCTGTTTTGAATCTGTTAACAAAATGTATATATTTTTCAATAAAAAGAAGGCCTTTATACTTCAGTGCCTTTTTGGTAATCTTCCTAGCTAAAAGGATTTTTTTGGCAGAGAATAAGTAAATACACAGTTCTTCCTCTGCAGATACAAGCTTGAGATAATTATTCTTTATGTTTTAATTACAAATACCCAATCTTAAGGAATTTTTATAGACAAAACTTGGCCCTGGGACGTGAGAATTTGTCTGTACGCATGTTAATACAAAATAAGGACTTTTTTCTGCCTCCTTCCCCCACTGAGCAATCTTTTGCACGTCAGTCTCCAGCATTAACAGTTATTTCTTTGCTCCAGCAGTGCTAAAATAGAACTTCTTTGTGTATTGTGGTTACTTTGTGGTTACACATCATATTAGCTATCCTGTAATACATGTTAGGGGCCGGATTCTCTGCTCACAGAGGTTGGCACAGCTCCACAGCAGGACTGTGGTGCACAGAGGGATCGACTCCGACTTCACTGGAGGACAGTGACACCAACTGAGGATCTGCCACCACTGGCAACCACTTCTTTTAGTATTGACAACACCAGCAGTACTTTATAGTGAACTGTGAACAGAATATATACATATATATATATTTATATATAAATAAATTGGCATAATATCACTTTATTAAAAGGCCTTGAAGAAAATGGTTTGCTTTTTAATTACTAAACCCTTTGACCTTAGAAAAGTTTAAGAGTGAATCAGCTGTTGTCCTTTACATCAAAATTATGCTCAAAAAGCTACACAATTAACATGGAAAACCACTTACAACAACAACAAAAAATTGCCTATAGAATTTTATAGGACTAGTGATCTGATTGTTTTTCCAGAACCCCTCCCATCATCAAAAGAATAATGACCCTAAAACATTTATCTGGGGGGTAAAATACAGTCACATCCCCAAGAACAATAAACCACACATGCAACAGGAATGTTGCCAGAAAATCCATTCAGAAAGATTACTTTGCCCATTCAAAGTGGGCTTCCAACCAGTCTGCTCCATCCCTGCTGGCATGTGGCCAGGCCATGGGAAAAGCGTGCCTGTTCTGATAAGATATGGACAAACTGTGCTAAGAATTTCCACAGTTCTGCCCTGCAATTTCAATTACTTCACTACGTTGCACAGAGATATAATTCTTACAAATGTAGGTTTCCTATTCCTAATTTCAGTATATTTGCTGAATGTGCTAAAGGATAGTGATTGAAGGAAAAATAAAATTGTCAAAAAATACAATAATGGCTTGCAAGAGTCTCACTGTTTCAGAACTGTTCTCAAAATGGGGCTGTTTCTTATGAAGGAGAATTTTCAATATGTGGTGCTGAAATTAATTCTTCAGAACCCAGCCTGGGAATTAATAATTTATCCTACTTTCAGTAGCTTTTCCAGGTAAGCCAAATTTGTAATTGTTACATCACTTGAGCTGGGAAACAGTGAATAGAAGGACAAATACAGATAACTTCTGTGCTTCACAGCAGGATTTTGTCATCCCCTCCCACTGGTACCTCTTGGCTTTAGTGCTGCACCACATATATGTCCCTTGGTCAAACTCCACGGCGGGAGCAGCTGAGCTCAGCTCTCCCCTGGCCCATATTCCCCCTCCCACAGCAGGACTCCCAGGATTAGAGAGCCCCAGCGTCCTGTTTGGGTGTCCCAGCCCCAGGTTTGGCCCCTCTGTGTGTGCACAAAGGCAGGGCACATGTGAAGGGTGAGCTTGTGTCATCACCCCCTTCAGCCCAGTCAGCTCCTGCTGCCCCGGGGCAGCACAGCCCAGCAGGTCAGGGGACCATCAGGACACCCCTGGGAGCTGTGCTTCTCTGCCCTGCTTGGACATTCGGATTTCCCAAAACTCCTCAGGCAGAAACCTGAACTCCTGACAAGAAAGCCCAATGATCCCCTGTGCAGGAGGCCAGTCAGAACTCACCTGTAGCACGTTCAGGGGCAGCTGAGGGTTTACCCAGGGGCAGTCCTGCCTTTGGGAAAGGAGCTGTTCCACTGCCCTCCCCTGGACAGTCACCTCCTGCCCCCCTCCCGCACCCCCCTTTCTGTCCAAGGGTTTGTTTGCTTGTCCAGGTCACCTCCAGCTCTTCCTCTGTTCCCATCCTTGCTCCCTTGCCTCTCGCCCACAGAGAGGCCCGGAGAGCTCTTGGCAAGTCCTGTCCCTGCTCCCACCTCTCACACTTTCTGCTCAGTGCCCTGTTCAGTCCCTCTGTACCCTTTGTCTTCCCACCATTTCCACATCCCTCAGCTTCTGGGTTTTCAGGCTAAACTGATAAGGCTGAAATCCTTACAAACCCTTTCTCTGTCAACACCACAACCTTCCCTACCCTCAGGCTCACTTCCCTTCATCAGAGGCTCCTTGTTTCTGGTGTAATGACTCCAACAAAAGCACCTCTTTTTATTCCTGTAAACCACTGCTGTTTTCCCTGTGCTTTCTCCATCTGTTCCCCACACCCATCACTCCCCCCAATGCACAAACTTGCATATCAAAGAAACAGCCTCTACTTTAGGCACAGAGAAAAGCAGCTTTGAGTGAAGAGCACAGACAGGACTGCTGAGCCTCACTGAGACAACCCATCCCTCCAAACGGGGGTGTGCTCCTGCCAGCCCGTGCAGCCCATGTGCCTCTGCATCCACACCCTTCCCTAGTGCTGGCATGACTCTGGAGACGGCAGCTCTTTACTTGGTAATGGCATCAAAAGCTGGAGCTGTAAATAAAGGTGCCTAAACCTTTAAATAAAAATACGCTGTCCCTGAAGGATAGGGGAGTTTAATGCAGCAGATGTTATTGCAATAATTTGCTTCTAGTAACGATTTTAATACTTCCCTTAATGTCCTTTTACACAACTAGAGTGATACACAAGGACTTCACTTCAATGAGAATTGGGTCTTCCTGCTCTCACCAGTGTCCTTCACCCACTCTTACCAATGTCACTGCCTTTTGCTGCTCCACTGAGGGAGATGCCACAACAAATTAAGCCCTGCGCACCTAAAATAAAGGTCTTTCAAAGGCTCTGTTGAAAGCTTTACAGAGCCTTACAGCAAGGTAACCCAAATGCCACCCACACCAGCCCTCATGCACTGCTTCATGACCCAGAAGGCTCCCATTGATGTCCTTTGTGGAGTTTGGTAACCTGTATATCCTCCTCTCCTTTGGTCCAATATCTAATCTCCTTGGCTTTACTGGGTTTTACTGGGCTGCTATTAAAGCAGTTGTTGCCATTCCTGTGCACACAGTGTGTCCCGAGCAAGGGAGGGATTAAGCAATGGATTAAGACTGAGTCCCTCAAAGCCTACAGAAGCAAACCTGTGAGGTAAACCAGCAGCAGAGGATGGTCAGACCACTATCGTTCCTTAGACCTTGATTCCTTCTTTAAAAATTATTCCCAGGAAATGCAAAGACACCTTATGGAAAACCTGCTTAAAAAAGTAAGAGTCCAAATGAGCATGAACTCCAGGCACATATCTTCCTGGAAAAGGAAAGGAGAATGCTTCACTTTGCAGACTAAACCAGTATCTGTGTCATGGGACATCCAAGGCTCAACAGCAGCAACCATCAAAATTGTAACTAGTCCTGGCTGAAACACATCATATTCCTGTCTCCTGGCAGGGGAAGAAAACAAGATTTCAAGATGCTTTTTTCAATTCAATTTGGGGCCAAAAAGTTATAAATTCTGACATTTTTGCAAAACAATATACTCTGAGTGATTTACTTCAATCAAAGCCATAACATAAAACTAAAAGGAAGAATGTTGACTTGATTAAAACTGTTCAGTCACATTACTCAAAAATGTTGATGAAACCAGCGTGTTCCCACAGAAGATCTAGACATTTTAAATGTGCAACTTCTTTAAATTAAGGGGAGTCTTTTATTGGGAGATTCTTTTTCCAGATGGTTTCATTTCAGTGCTGAACCAGAAAGCTTATTCTAGGTAGGCAGAGGTGACAGGAGGCACTTTCCTTCAAAGACTTCACACAGACACCACCTTTCTGTGAAGGTTGCCCCAGAGACGTGCAGGAGGTGTGCACATGTGGAAGAGATACTTCAGCAGCAACAGCACTCTGTCAAATGTTCACTGAGCAAAAAGAGGCAGCCATTTATAAACAAAAAGCAATAAAGAGAATGAATTCAGAGCACTGTAGAGGACAACATCTGCATGAGAATCCAGTGACTTCCAGCCTTGAAGATGTACCTGCAGTCGTACCACAACAGGTTTAGATAGAACACCACTTTTCTCTATCCTGCCTCTCAATCCCCCGCTAAATTGCCATTTTTGAGGTTAGCAATAACAGAAATGCTGCTTTGATACATATCTTCTACTTCTGAAGAAGGAGCAGGGCCAGATGGCGGCCTGATGTGAGAGCAGAAGGTGTCAGAGCCCTCCTGTGCAGGCACTGGGAGCACAGTCCCTGCTGGGTGTAACTGGGGGCAGCCACTGAGCTCGGCCAGGAACCTCCACCCAAGTTCCCTGCACACTAAGAAAGAAGCTGTGGGAAAGCCAGTGCAGCAGGGAGTGGACAAAGCAAGCTCATCAACCCACAGAGATGCTCTGAACAGTTCTCCTGGTCTCCCAGTGCCACCCAGTCCAAACTGGCTCTCCAGGCACAGGCTGTACATGACCAGGGAGCACACAGCCCTGCTCTGTGATGGTCAGTGTTTTGGTGATGCTGAATCTCTTCTCACAGTGGTGAAGCACTGCAGAAAGCAGAAGCACATGTGCACACCCACCCCGAGGAGCAAGGAG